CAAAGTGATGTTTCTGCTTTTTAAGATGCTGTCAAGGTTTGCCATCGCCTTTCTCCCAAGGAGCAGGCGTCTTTTAATTTCGTGACTGCTGTCACCATCTGCAGTGATCATGGAGCCCAAGAAAGTAAAATCTCTCACTGCCTCCATTTCTTCCCCTTCTATTTGCCAGGAAGTGATGGGACCAGTGGCCATGATCTTCGTTTTTTTGATGTTGAGCTTCAGACCATATTTTGCGCTCTCCTCTTTCACCCTCATTAAAAGGTTCTTTAATTCCTCCTCACTTTCTGCCATCAAGGTTGTGTCATCTGCATATCTGAGGTTGTTGATTTTTCTTCCGGCGATCTTAATTCCGGCTTGGGATTCATCCAGCCCAACTGGTTGTACATAGTCGGAACATTTCTTTAGGCGTGAAGCATTTCTCCAACAAAGGGGTTGCAGGCGGCTGGAGCACTCTGGCCCCAGCAACAGAGACAGGCAAGAAATTCAGGGAACAATTAATTCCCGCAGATCAAGCCCGACTTGGGCAGGACAGCTGTGACAGGGAGACGGAGGAAACAAGCAAATCCTGCTCAACAGGTCAGGTCCAATTCCACAGCCTGGATTCTGCCTCTCCCTGTCTGTTGTGCTCATTGCAATCTTCCTCCCCCCTTTGTTTTAATGCCTATTTCAGGATTTGCAGGTTTAAGAGGCAAAAAAATAGAATGAAAGAGGCTAGCCGGCTGCAGCTCAGGGCAGTTCAGGTTTGCCACTTCCGCTCCATGCAGACCTGCTGAGCTCAAGACGTCTTTGCGTAAGGATTCTAGCCTGCCGTGGGCTTGGGACTGGGAATGATCCTAGTCCTCAGTGATGCACGCCCACCTTGATTTTAAAAGCAGCCTAACCCAGGGCCTTCGTAAGAACGTAACCTTTAGGGTGGGGAACATCTGCAAAGGAACGTACATTTAACTGCCTCTGAAAGTAGATCCTTTCAGGAGCACATTACCAACTCAGAAAAAGCAAGTGTGCTTCACTGCTCAGAATTTGGGCAAAGAAACTGCTCTGAAGGGAGACAGGCTGAGATTTTAGGCCTAGGCCAGGCACAGGCAAACTCGGCCTTCCAGATGTTTTGGGACTACAACTCCCATCATCCCTAGCTAACAGGACCAGTGGTCAGGGATGATGGGAACTGTAGTCTCAAAACATCTGGAGGGCCGAGTTTGCCTATGTCTGGCCTAGGCAGACGGGTGGATTTGCGCCTCGAAGGGCAATCTCCCTATTCAGACGCCTAACCATTCAGCGTTTGCCAAATTGCGAGGCCCCGGGATGTAGGCTGCAGGGAATGGAGGAGGAGGAGGAATATTTCATTTTAATTTCCTTCCAAAGGTCAGTCCTCCTTGGGAAAGAGAGGAAGAGCAGCTGTGTACACAGGGAGAGGGGACAGCAGGGGAACAGAGACCAGAAAAGGCCGAGGAGAGAGGGTGCCGGAACTGCAATAAGATCGGCTTGTGTGTGACATTCCCAGAAGCAAACAACTCCCTGCAGAACTGCTGGGACTTTTGAGAGCAGGTGGAGGCCATGGTCAAGCCAGTGTGTGTGTGTGTGTGTGGAACAGGGCCTTCCAAGTGTTAGCACCCAGACTTTGGCAACCCTAAGTCAATATTGACCAAGAAATGGGAAACTGTGCTAAGTTCTATAACCAGTGTGTCTCTGGACCTTAGACTAAGACCCATACAACAAAAACTCATATAATTTACTGGAATCGTCTATGTTTGTTCAGGAAAAGGCTACCCAGCTGCTGGAGCTGCAATAGGAACAATGATTCTTTAAAATATATGTTCATACAATGTTCCATATCGGTATGGAATTGGCGTGCAATTCCATCCCCTGATACAAATATATAATTTTCTGGGTTCAACGACATTTGGAAAGACTTGGGGTGGAGGGGTGACTAGGGTGTTAGCTGTTGACTAGGCAAGGGCAGGAGGCCAAGCTCCCAATATTTGCGCAAGGCCCAGCCAATCCACAGGCTTCAGACTGACAGCCAATCGCAGAGGCCAGCGTTGCACATTCTTATCCCCTCCTTTGCCTGAAGAGGGCGACATCGCCCAAACATTCCACAAGGCACCTGGAACAAACCAAGGATGCGAAAGTCAAAATGTGGGGGTCCCCAGCACACCACAAAGGGTGCTTAGCATCACGAGATGCAGAAACGGCCCCTCCTGACCCTGTTGCTCCAGCAGTGAAATGAGAATTTTGCTGCATGCCGTGGCCTCTCTCGATTCCTGCCTTCTCTGCCGCTGCCCCTCTTCCGAGAACACACTGCTGCCAACTCACCCGCTGATGATCTCCTTGTTCTCCGCCCGGATGAAGTGTTCCTTCTCAGGCGTCAATATGCAGAGGGAGAACTTCTGCCCGGTCCGGCTTTCCCCGTCCACGACATCCGTACACTGGTTCATGTTGATGGTGCCCTGGGGCAGGGTGGTTGGCTAGAAAGGAGAATGGAAGCGGGGAAGTTATAAGGAGGAAGGACGAGAGCATGTTTCAAATGTTCAGTGTTTTCCTGTACAGCAGCCTTTGCCACCCAGGTGTCCTCCTGGACATTTTGGACTACAACTCCCATCAGTGTAACACTGCCCGTTGGAGCTGATGGGAGCTGTAGTTTATTTTGTGTTTTCTCTTTTTTTATATATATTAAATTTGGAACGCAGATCTCAGGGCAGTTGCCAAGATAAAATCACAATATATAAACTTAAAATACATAATAGAAAAAACCCCGAAACAACCCATTAATCCCCCCAACATATTTTAAAAGGGCATTTGAATAGGTGTCTCCGAACAACCCCCTAGCACCCTTAAAGAACTACACAGTTCCTGGGATCGTATATTGAAATACAGCAGTACCTTGGTTTAAGAGCAGCTTAGTTTATGAACAACTTGGATTAAGAACGCTACAAACCCGGAAGTAGGTGTTTTGGTTTGTGAACTTTGCCTTCGAAGCAGAACATGTTTCGTTTACTGTTGAGTGTGTTCCATTTGTAAATTGAGTCCCCCGCTGCTATGGGAAAGGACGCCTTGGTTTAAGAATGGACTTCCGGAACGGATTAAGTTCGTAAACCAAGGTACCACTGTTTATTATCACAGCGGCAAGATTGTTAAATGCACAAAGATGGAAGGGTTTGCCATTACCTACTACAGAAGAATGGTGACTGAAATTAATGGATTTGGCTGAGATGGCGAAGTTGACATGTTTATGTTATAGAAAAATCATCATTGCCCTTTATTAATAACGGGAAACCCCTTATGGACTTTTTGTGCAAAAAGGAAAATATCTGGGTTTGAAGTCTGAAAAAAAGGTTAGTCTGTGGAAAGTAGAAGAGCTGGATACTACTTGGGAGCAAGGATTTTGCCCAAGACTAGGAAGCTGACAGACAAAGAATCAGAAGTCTTTTTCTTTCTTTTTTTAGCTCTACCAACTGAGCTATCCTAGGACATAATAGTCACCACGATAGCTTATTATTAGCCAACATAGTCATCTCAGTGCATTGCTATATACACCTGCCAAACCAATTATTCTGGGTTGCCTTTTCTTTCCAAAACACACTCGCTGTTGATCTTGGCTCCTTCCCAATGCCGCCCCCTCACCCTACCCGAAATCACCATGTTTTAAACCAAAGGCCAATCTCAGGGGCGGCTCAAGGTATTTTGCTGCCTGAGGCGAAGGACAAGATTCTGCATCCGCCACCCACGCAAGACGGGACCGGCAGCAGAATCTCATCTCAAGGCTGGCAATGAAACACAGGAGTGGGACATGGGAGACCCGGGTTCAAATCCCTCCTCAGCCCTAAAGCTACATGAAGGACGGGGGCCTTGGGCAAGTCAGCGTCTTTGAGCCCGCACTACCCCAAAAGGTCGTTGTAAGGATAAAGGATGGACGGAGATCTGTTTAAGACTCCCGGGGGTGGGGGGGGGAGGGAAATAAACAAAAAAATCTTCATCTCAAAGACAGAGGGAGAGTTTGAACGGCCGTCATAAATTGCTGGCTGCCCTGCTTCATTTACAACAGGGGTCAGCAAACTTATCATGCCTCGCGCTGGTGTCTCCAGCACCGATCGTGTGGCAGGCCAGATACCATGTGCCCATCCGCGTCCGCACACACTATTTCCAGCGCACTTCTGGGTCAGAGGAGCACCGGAAATAGCTTGTGCGCATGTGCACGGGCCTCCTCCGACCCGGATGTGCACTGGAAATAACGCTTGCGCATGCGCACAAGCAATTTCTGGTCCTCCTCTGACCCAGAAGTGGACAGCCGCGCAGCGCAGCGTTGGTAAGAGCGGACAGTGGCAGTGGGAATCGCCGCAGGCCGGATAAACGAGTCCCTTGGGCCTTATTCGACCCGTGGGCCTTAGTTTGGGGACCCCTGATTTACAACATGCCAGCAAAGGCACCACGGGAGGAAACAGCACAGGCGCGCTGGCGAAGCATCGTGGGAGGGAGACGGAGCCTGCATCAGAATTCCCCGCCCCGCCCCCCACCCTGGGACATGGCCAATTTGTGTTTAGATGTGCAAAGAACGGCCCCCAACGGCCCGCCTTGTCTTGCCAAGTTGAAAAACCTCGGTAAGCAGCGTGGCAGACAAGCCAGGCAGGCACATACAACCGTTTTCTACCAGTATAAATCATCAGTAAGCTTCTCAGAAGACTTTGGAAAGGATGCAAGGAAGGAAGGTGAAGGAGGAGGAGGAGGGGAAATGGTGGCAGCGACGCTGCTCTTGCCCCACACAGCTGGGCCTCCCACAGCCAGGCGCTTGCTGGTGCAAGAGGTTAATGGTTTCTTGACAGGTACCACTGCAGAAGGCATGCCTGGAGCAACCAAAATTGCAGAGAGCTTGCTATGCTTTTTAAACACGAGCTAGCTGGGCTGCTTCAAGGTCTATGGTGTGCGACAGCTAATTCTTAGAACTGTAGAGTTGGAAGGGACCCGAGGGTCATCTAGTCCAACCCCCTTGCAGTGAGGGAATCTTTTGCCCAAAGCGAGACTCGAACCCACGACCCAGAGATTAAGAATCTCATGCTCTACCAAGTGAGCTGGGATAATTCAAACTTTGCCTTGGCCGCAAACCTACACAGAGGTTCCCTGGTACATACCACCATCTAAATCTACAAGGGCAAACTTTCTGAATTTTGGGGATAATAGTATCAGTGATGTCGGAGGAATTTGATCTTTGGAAATTAAGAGGATGAGCTCGCCTGAACCTCACCCTCCTAGATCAACATGCAGATTGAAATTTAAGCTATCCACCTTTTCCCCATGCTTCTGGGGTGCCTGAACACAGTTCACAGACCAAATAATATATCAAAATAGGCTTAGAATGAGCATTTGGATGCAGATTTTTCTGAAAATCACAAATCTATGCGGAAACAGGATGGGTCTAACTTCAAGGTGGATGCATTTGAAAATGGTAAGCTAGGAATAAACTAGTTTTCCCAACCCTGATCAATAATGGTCTCCCTTATAGGATTATTGCATGCAGTCCAATACTGAGATATATAGAATTGGCTTCCCAGGTCACCCAGTGAGCCGAGTGGGAAGATTCGAACCCTGCGCTCCCGAGTCCTAGCCCAACACTCTGACCATTACACCAGTCTCCCCAGGAGCTACGGAATAGACAACTCCTTGCAAAGTGGAACAACCACCTGAACACACAGCCATGAAACAGGGTGGAAATTGAAGTAGCAGCAGAATCTGGGGAGGGTTTTTTGGCCAGGGAGGGAGAGAGAGTCTGTCTTCCCAGCATTTCATGGACAGGGATGGCAAGTTCAGCCAGGGGACATTTTTTAAAAGAGGCGTAAAGTTTACTCAAGGCAGACAGCAAGTCTAAACAGCCAATCGGACCAGCCGGGAGCAAAGAGGTAGACTGAGAAGCAGGCGGATCTCAAGCTTAAAGAGAGCCAGGAGGACTTAACCCTGTCAGATGCCCAAACTTGCTCAGCATCCTTATATTTTCACCCTGCCCTCAGAAGAGTTTGAGGCAGTTTACACTGCATCTACACCATATAAAGCGCTCTCAAACCACTTTTAATACATGTGGGTTCCACCCATCTAAGCATCCTGGGAACTGCAGTCTGTTAAGGGTGCAGAGAAGGGTCTCCTCACAGTGCTACAGTTCCCAGAGTTCGCTGGGAAGAAGAAACGATTGTTAAACCATTCTGTGAAGGGAATAAAGGTAAAGGTAAAGGGACCCCTGACCATTAGGTCCAGTCATGGCCGACTCTGGGGTTGCTGCGCTCATCTTGCTTTACTGGCTGAGGGAACCAGCGTACAGCTTCCGGGTCATGTGGCCAGCATGACTAAGCCGCTTCTGGCGAACCAGAGCAGCGCATGGAAATGCCGTTTACCTTCCCGCCGGAGCGGTACCTATTTATCTACTTGCACTTTGTGCTTTCGAACTGCTAGGTTGGCAGGAGCAGGGACCAAGCAACGGGAGCTCACCTCATCATGGGGATTCAAACCGCTGACCTTCTGATCGGCAAGCCCTAGGCTCTGTGGTTTAGACCACAGCACCACCTGCGTCCCCAAGACCCTTTGCGGGGGCTGTCGCTGTTTGAAGGGTATAATGGTGCTTTAAATGTGTGGGGTGGGTTTGCATAGTTGCCCATTTCTGCTCACAGCCACCCTGTGGCTACAGCTAATAATTAAATAAAGGAGCATCTCCAAGCTCATTCTGAGCTGAGGTTTTCCATACCAGAAACAGGACTGAGCTCGGGAGGCTGGTTTAGATAGGCAAACACGCTTTGTTGCTGCTGAGCAAACTGCGGGAACCCTTGCTGAGGTGATGCAAATCACCCACAGATCTGCCAGCAGATCCCAATCCAGCTTCTGCATGAGAAGCCCTTCTGCCCACCAGATTAAAACTAGAGTCACACAACCCCTCGCATCCCCAGGAAGTGTGCAAGCATTGGCCAACCAGGGCAGTCGTCTCACAAAGTGAGGGTAATACAAAGTCAGGATAACTGAGCAATCCGATCACAAAGGCCATAGACTCACAGGGGTGCAGCAGGGAACCTCTTTCACAGGTGCTTCCAGAAGCTCTGACTTCATTAACTACTTGCAGCCACTGATGGAAACTCACATATATAAGCTAGGTGCCAAATGGCTCCTTAAACCGGGGTTGCAGTCGCCAAAACGGAATGTTTAGTTGCCGTTTTGGCGCCAGACGGCTCAAAAGTCATATTTTGGCTTCCTGAAATTCGTTCTGATTGCACAGATAAAATATAAGGGATGGAATTCTACAGGATGTGCTGCTAGTGTGTGAAAACGGTCCAGATCCAAGGTTCCCCAGGCACTCACCTCCAGATGGTGCAGATGTCAGAAGGCACCCTGGCATCTTCACTTGGTCATAAGTGGCCAATAGCCAGGTGCAAAATGCCCCCAAAAATAAATAAACCTGGGAATTGGCATTCTGGCCCCCAAAGATGGATGCCACCTAGGATAAAGGGTCTGGTCATCCTCCATATTTAAAACACCCCTGCCCCACAAAAAACCCCTAAAACTCCTGCTTGCAGTATTTGCATACAGCCACGCTGCAAATGGGTGTGTGGGGAGGCTTGTAAGTTTAAATATGGGGAGCCGGGAGATGGGGCAGGTCTCTTTTATTCCAGGTGGCTTCTGTCTTCTCGGCTGTGGGGAAATCAGCCAGAAGGATAATAATGTGAGGGAGAAAAGAGCCATGTGTGAAGCAGCCCCCGCCCCTCTCTTTCCCCTGGGCTGATGGAATCAAACAAGCTTTTATTTTTCCGAGGCTGTTTTGACCTTATATGGGGAATTCTCGCATGCAGCTGTAATCGTGCTTCGCAGCCGCGATTCACCCCCAGCAAACCTCTGCCACAGGCCTGCTCCACTCCTTTCCAGATACAGCTGCAACACACAAACACAAGTCCAGCTACCAGAAGGTTAACAAATAATTAACCTCGGGGAAATCATCAACACAAAGGAAGATGGAAGCAGTTTCACGGATCCGGGCAGATCTGCACGCTGCATTTAAAGCATGGACAACACACATTTCAAGCACATGGCTTCCCCCAAAGAATCCTGGAGGACGGCAGTTTCCCCCGTTCATAGAGCAACACCACTTCCAGCAACTTTAATTCCAGAAACTACAATTGCTGGCATCTGTCTGCCTTGAGAGACAATGGAGTGCTCCTCCAGGGGTGAAGTCGTCAAACCACTGAAGAATCACAGCGCCTGCTGTGGCTGCAGAAACCAGTAGCTCATAACTGCTGCTTCCTGCATTGTTTTTGCTGCGTTACGAGCACCGAAGTGACCGCCCCAGGGTGCCAGCCTGGGCAGTGTGTCTGGAGGTCCTAGGCTGCCCAGACAACAAGACCCCCTTCTCGGCCTCTCTGATGGGGTCCAAAGGAAAGCAGAGCAAGACGTTTGGCACCAGCTTGGCCACAGGAGGAGGCGTACAAGGTGCCATCCAACCATCTTCGGAACTTCACTCCAGATTTGTGTAGGGTTTATTCCTGAGCCTTTTCCTCTCCCTCAGATATTCCACAGGGCAGTGTCAGTTCAGGTCTTCCTCTCCTAGATGGGCTACCTTCCCAGGTGACCGAGCCCCATCTGCCCCTTACTTCCCTCTACAGCAGCCTTTCTCAACCTGTGGGTCCCCAGATGTTGTTGAACTACAACTCCCTTAACGCCAGCTAGCAAGGCCAGAGCTCAGGGATGATGGGAGCTGTAGTCCAACAACATCTGGGGACCCACAGGTTGAGAACCGCTTCTCTACAGAATACTCAGAAACCGCCTCATTGACCATTGGACCCACTATTTTTCTCGGCCGCTCAATCCACCACAGCCTGTCCCAATTCTTTGTGAGGTCATGTGCTTTACATGTATAGTGAAGGCCTGCTCTTGGTTGTCATAAATTAGGGAAACGCATAGACGACAAGGCTATCAATAGTAATTACAGTCAAACCTCGATTGTCAGACGTAATCCGTTCCGGAAGCCCACCCAGCTTCCAAAATGTTAGGCAGCTGAGACATGGCTTCTGACTGTTTGCAGGAGTTCCCTGCACTCAAGCAGAGGCTGTGTCAGTTGTTCAGCTTCCAAAAAACATTTGAAAACTGGAGCATTCACTTCCGGGTTTTAAATGTTCCAAAATGGAGGCGTCCAGGAGCCGTCTGGGGGGAGAGGCAAATATTGGCAGAAGACGGGTGGTTGTTTCAGCACCCTGCTGGCAAACTTTCCAGAAGTAAATGACTGACCACTGTGGAAAGTAGGATGCTAGATCTAGTGGAACTCTGATCTGATCCTGCATGGATCTTCTTATGCTCTGAATGAGAAGAGGGCCTTCCTAGGGAGGTCTAAGCACTTGCTAGGGAGAGTGACAAATGCCGTCAGCAGCGACAGAGGAGTGACTAGAGAGGGAAGGAGGGGAATTTTGTTCAGTCCAACATTTTAAGCAAACTGCCCCCATTTGCACCTCTCTTGAGTTACGGACACGGATCAGAATGCAATCACCCTTTGGATTTTGCACTTCTCCGAATTTTTGCGATGCACTTCTCTGCTCAAAACGAGTGAAAAGTTGTCTATTTGGGGACAGATGTGTCCAGAGATGCATATATTGAGAAATTAAGAGATTGAATGCATATGTTTGCAAGGATTTTCAAAAAAAGATTTGCAGATTGATGGGAAATAGGACATAACAGACTTGTGAACACACGTAAAACTGACGCAGACTGGAAATAAGACTGATCCTTCTGTTCCCAGTAACATCCATCTATTTACCTACACACCACAGAGAACGCTGCATTTTTCAGCTGAACCTGATATCCTGGGACCTCTCCCAAATATTCCCCCATCCCTTGGGAGATGGGAGGTGAGCTTAACCTCTCTCTGTAGCAACCTTAAGGCAGAGGCTGCAGTTGCATAAAGCAGCCATAAAATTTTATCCATAAAGTTGGATAAAGCAGAAAAGTGCCCACAATCAGACTTTTCTTATCAAAGCCATCCCTTTGCAATGAAGGGAAAGAAACACCCGTTTGCTGCAGCAAATCTTTGCAAGCAAATTTCAATACCACCCAGTAAAGCGTTTTCCTGGCAGTAGGACTGGGGAAAAGAACCAGAGATCTAGAGAGCTTCCGGTGAAAGGAACGTCCGAAATCTGATCCTAAAAACAGAGCAACCTGCCCTGTGCGCTGACCACCACGTGCCAACTTTCTGGCGACACACAGAGATGTGATACTCAGGACAACTGGCTTACAAGGACCCTCGTCTGCCTACTGGCCCATCTGCCTCCATACTGTCTGCACGGACTGGCAGCAGCTGTCCAGGCTTTCAGGAAGGGGTCTTCCCTACGGGAGAGCTCAGTCGGTAGAGCATGAGACTCTTACATCTCAGGGCCGTGGGTTTGAGCCCCACGTTGGGTTAAAGATTCCTGCATTGCAGGGGGTTGGACTAGATGACCCTGGGGTCCCTTCCCATTGTTCAAGTAAGTCTATGATTCTACCTGGAGAGAACCTGAGCCCTTCTGTATTCAAAGGAGATCATAGGAATCAAAGTTATTCCGTTTTCTATCTATCCAGAATTTTCTGTCAATTAAGGGAGACGGACAATGGGAATCACAGTATTGTAGAGTTGGAAGGGACCCCGGCGATCATCTATTCCAACCCCCGGCAATGCAGAAATATGTAGTTGTCCCATGCAGGTATTGAACCTGCAACCTTGGCATTATCATCACTACGCTCTAACCAACTGAGCTATCCAGATGTTCTATGACTGAGATATGGCCCTTCCTTAAGGCAGGACAAGCCTTTATTGCAGCTTAGAAGTCAGATAATAGTCACATCAGGCGACAAGAGTGCGCCAGTCCCCCACGCCCTGAGATTTTTACTCCCTCCCTGGATTTCCCCCTGGGGGAGTCCTTATGCTCCCCCAAGTCCTGTCCCATCCATTAGGGCTCCCCTGCCTCTAACCCTGGAGGGAGCCTCTATGCTACTCCTCTGCCTTACCTGTCCCTCAAAACTTGCACTTCAGGTTTGCAAATTACACACTCGGCTGGGAGCAAGTAAGAACTGCTTCCAGACAAACAAGTTGGCGTTCTTAAAATATATATATATATATATATACATATTTATCTGCGTGTGTCAAGCTGTGTGTTGCTGCCGTTTTCCTTCGAGGGCTCAGGCGTGCACCAAAGACTAACCAAAGTGTGTGAGAGAAGCGAGAATTTCTGTGGCCTTATTTCTGCCATCTGTCATCAGAGGAGGGACGTGGGTGGCGCTGTGGGTTAAACCACTAGGACTTGCCGACCAGAAGGTCAGCGGTTCGAATCCCCGCAACGGGGTGAGCTCCCGTTGTTCGGTCCCTGCTCCTGCCAACCTAGCAGTTCGAAAGCACGTCAAAGTGCAAGGAGATAAATAGGCACCGCTCCGGCGGAAAGGTAAACGGCCTTTCCGTGCGCTGCTCTGGTTCGCCAGAAGCGGCTTAGTCATGCTGGCCACATGACCCGGAAGCTGTACGCCGGCTCCCTCGGCCAGTAAAGCGAGATGAGCGCCGCAACCCCAGAGTCTGTCACGGCTGGACCTAATGGTCAGGGGTCCCTTTACCTTTACCATCAGAGGGCATGGGTCTGTTGCCTTGTTTAGTCTTCTCTTCCCATCGCAGAACACGCCACAATTACATACCCTTCCAGTCAACCTCTGAAAGGAACCCTGGAGCCACTGTGGTGCAGCGAGTGTTTGGAGTTAGGACATGGAAGACCTGGGTTCAAATCCCCACCCAGCCGTGAAGCTCAATGGCTGACCTCAGATGTTGGTCCCTGCCTCTTAGCCCAACCTACCTTGAAAGGGTGTTGTGGGGATTCAATGAGGGGAAGAAAAGTAGGATACAAGTGCAATCCCATCTTTCACATCCCCACCAATGCTAAGAAATGTCATATCAAGCATTTCTCAGAACGATAGAATTGTAGAGCTGGAAGGGGGCCCTGGGGGGGGGTCTCTAGTCCAACCCCCTGCAATGCCAGAACCTCTTGCCCTATGTGAGGCTCGAACCCAAGACTCACAGATTAAGAAACAGCTGGAAATAGGGACTCCTAGACACCAAGGCCACTTGTCACTGCTGGAGGCAAGAATACCCTCCATCTTAGTGATAATGATAATGATAATTTATTACAGTGGTACCTCGGGTTAAGAACTTAATTTGTTCCGGAGGTCCGTACAGTGGTGCCTCGCAAGACGAAATTAATTCGTTCTGCGAGTTTTTTCGTCTTGCGAATTTTTCGTCTTGCGAAGCACCACTGTCTTCAAATCACCAAAGTCTTCAAAAACCTCAAAAAAGGCTACCACACCGCGTGCTATGAGTTGCTCCTCGAAGTCAAGTCGCAACTGCACCTCTTCAAGCAATGCACCCTGGGTATTAACGGTTTTTTAAAAAAAGGAAACAAACTTGCAAGACGTTTTCGTTTTTCGTCTTGCGAAGCAAGCCCATAGGGAAATTCGTCTTGCGAAGCAACTCAAAAAACGAAAAACTCTTTCGTCTTGCGAGTTTTTCGTCTTGCGAGGTACCACTGTACTTAACCTGAAACTGTTCTTAACCTGAGGTACCACTTTAGCTAATGGGGCCTCCTGCTGCTGCCGCACGATTTCTGTTCTCATCCTGAAGTAAAGTTCTTAACCCGAGGTACTATTTCTGGGTTAGCGGAGTCTGCAACCTGAAGCGTCTGTAACTTGAAGCGTCTGTAACCCAAGGTACCACAGTATTTATACCCCGCCCATCCGGCTCGGTTTCCCCAGCCACTCTGGGCGGCTTCCAACAAAGATTAAAAATACATCAAAATGTCACACATTAAAAACTTCCCTAAACAGGGCTGCCTTCAGATGTCTTCTAAAAGTCAGATAGTTGTTTATCTCCTTGACATCTGATGGGAGGGCGTTCCACAGGGCGGGCGCCACCACCGAGAAGCCCCACTTCTCGCAGAGAGGGAACCGCCAGAAGGCTCTCAGAGCTTGACCTCAGTGTCTAACCAACTACAAGTTGTGAACTGTTGGTGCACTAATTTTACTGCAAATATTAATAATGCGCCTCTTGTAGTTTGGTTTTCTATTAAAAAAAGGGAAGCCTAATGACTAGTTCTCAGCCAAGAGAGACAGAACCCTGTGAAGAACTCCTATCCAGTTCCTGTGGAATTTTCTCATTCCACATTAAAAACACAAGTATCCATGACTTCAAAAGGGTATCAGGTACGGCTTTTGTTCCCTGCCTTACATAACCGTCCCAATTTGCCAAATTAGCCCCAAAAGCCAAGTCTCAGGAGCGGCAAAGACAGACTCTCCTGGAAGGGTATTTAATTTCACCAAGCAGCTTATGGAATTAAGACCCAAACCCAGAGGCAATTAGAAGAAGAAAAACAAAAAACAAAAATTAAAGTCGCTGTGCGTTTTGCTCAATGCCCCCAGGACCGGCTGGCGGACAAAGAATGGCTTTGGGTACACTCACAAGAGGCTCCAAAAGCTATTCTTTGTATCACATGCCAATAAGGAAGGGTGGAAAGGAGGAGTGACAAAAACAAAACAAAACACCCAATAGTCACATAGTCCTGTGTAATTACACCCTAGTGTGAGTCCTTCAAGACAAAGGGAGCTCCAGAATCAGCCACCAGCTGCAAAGACTGTAGCAACAAGCTACAAGGATCAGGCTGGATGAACAAGTTTGTCGTTGTTTTAAGCCAGGCTTCCTCAAACTCGGCCCTCCAGATGTTTTTTGGCCTACAACTCCCATGATCCCTAGCTAGCAGGACCAGTAGTCAGGGATGATGGGAATTGTAGTCTCAAAACATCTGGAGGGCCGAGGTTGAGGAAGCCTGATTTAAATGGTATTCTGGAATAAAAAGAGGAGCTTAAAAAAATGAACTACAGAAGGGAACCAAGGAACATTCCAGGAGGGATCACTACAGAATGAATTTCATATCCTGAAAGTCTTCTCAAACTGTATTTTTAAGGTTCTAGACATCATGGTGGGAAAGAAGAAATTAAAAAAACCAAACAAACAGGGTTGCGTTACTTAGAGCATCCACCACGTTAATAGTCTAAAAGAGTTGTGGCTGGCTTTTTTCGGCCAGCCACAAATTTGTTGCCAGCAGCAACACAACATACGGTACATGTCCTTTCAGAGGCTATATTTCTATAATATCTGGTATGGGGGGACAAGTTAGATTTGAACCCTATTTTTTTCTTTTTAAAATCGCTCGATTAATTTAAAAAGCACGGATTAATTAATTAGCTGATTAATTTAAAATCTGCTGTCTTGATTAAAGACCGCAGATCAATTTTATTAGAAGCAACACAATTTATACACAGTTCCAAGAAGAGTTATTTCCTCTCCATTTGCATGCAGAAGGGAATTCTGAGACTACACATAAGTCCCATCTGATTATGAATTACCACTTTTTTATTAACTTGTGCTGTTTTTATGGATTGATATTTGATTTTCAGTTTTCAAAATTTGTCGTGATTTCGTTCTCCTTTATCGCATTCGCCTGCCAGCTTGTGTCTAGTTCAAAAGGAAAATTCAGAACAGAAATGTGGTACTTATTATTAACATTAACCTTCTTCCGAACTATTGTTTTTACTCCCAATGTAAAGGTTAGGCGGCTTGGTTACAAATACATCAACAGATGCTTTAAGTTATAAAAGCAGCCCTATTAGAAATAAGTGGGTGATGTCAAGTAAGAGCTCAAAAACCAAGATGTGGCTTAGTCAATATGCACAAGTCAAGATGAAGGAAGCCAATTATGTAGATAGACTACAATTCCCATTGTCCTTGGCCAATGGGCACGCTGGCAAGGGCTGATGGGTGTTGGAGTCCAACACTATCCAGAGAGCACCACCTTATCTAACCCAGAGGTTGTGAACTCTCCTTCCCTGGAGGTTTTAAAGCAGAGGGTGGATGAGGTCACCTGTCTTGGGTGCTTCAGCTGAGATTCCCGCATCGCAGGGGGTTGGACTAGATGACCCTTGGGTCCCTTCTATGAATCAGGGGTGTGTGTGGCCTGCTTTATGAAATAAAGTAAAATAAAATATGAAATAAAACTTGCAAGAAACTTTTATTTGATAGATATGATGTTGTATAAATCTTTGGTTTTCTTTTCTTTTTTTCTTGTTTTTTTCAATTTTGTTTTTACGTCATGATTTCCCCCCCCCTTATTTATTTCTGTATTTAACTTTGTTATACCTATCTTTGTTGTATGTTTGTATTTTAAACTAATAAAGATTTTTTTAAAAAAAACAAAAAACTTCGCGTCAAATGCATGGCCTGTTTAAATCATACAAATTGCAGCATTCTTCTTTTCCAAGGAGCAACAGGGCCCACGCAAGGTGGCAGCACAGAGTTAAACTACGGAACTCCTTGCAACATGAGGCAGTGGTGGCCA